ATCTGCTAGTTCACTTCCCAAATGGCCACAACAGCCAGAGCTGAGCTAGATGGAAGGCAGGGGCCAGTAACTTCATCCAGGTCTCCCACGTGGGTGCAGGGGCCCAAGCACTTGGGTTATCTTCCATTGCTTTTCCAGGTGCATTAGCAGAGAGCTGGACTGAAAGTGGAGCAGCTGAGACTTGAACCAGCACCCATATGGGATGCTGGCGCTGCAGGTGGCAGCTTTACCCATTATGTCTCACCACTACCTGCTCCCCCCACCGCCACCCCAATGTTTTTAATTGAGGTGAAAACACCACGCAAAAAGTGTGGCCTTGTGAGGTAGGAGTTGAGCAGCTGCCCAAAATGATAGCATCTCATATCACAGTGCCTGTTCAAGTTCTGGCTGCTCCACTTCCTATCCAGCTCCCTGCTAATATGTCCTAAAAGCAGTGAAGCATGGCCCTACTGCTTGGGTCCCTACCACGCATCTGGGAGACCCAGATGGCTTTGCTGGCTCCTGCCTTCTGCCTGGTTAAACCCTGACAATTGCAGCTATTAGGGAGTGAACCAGCAGATGAAAGATCTTTCTCTCTCTCTCTCTTCCTTCTCCCCCCATATACACCTTGTCTCTGTCACTCAGCCTTCTAAATAAACAAATCTTAAAAAAAAAAAAAAAGTCACTCCTTGTTCTCCTGTTCTCCTTTCCCCAGTCCCTAGCTTTCTGTTCCTGATTTTATCAATTTTGGTCATTTCATATAGATAGAATCATAAAATATGTGAACTTATATTTCCAACCACACATGTACCAGGCACTAACCAAGTGCTAGAGGTTGAGATGAAGAAGATAGACACGAACCCTGACTTCATGGGGCTTGATAGACAGGCATTATTCAAATAAATGCATATAATTAATACCTAGTTACAAATGTGCAAAAGCTACAGCGTTGAAAAAGAGAATCCACAGAGAAGGGAAAATATCGGGCCTGGTATAGTTTGGGGAAGGAGGAAAGGCCTCTCTGAAGAGGTGACATATAAGCTGAACCCTAAAAAATGAGTAGGATAAGCCTGGAAGAAGGAGGGAAAAACCTTTCAGGCCAGGGGCACTAAGGGATATAAATAGAGGAGTCTGGGAGCTTGATGCGGAAGTGTTTGTTTTAGGAAAATTTTTGGTATTGACTCAAGTCCATCGTTTTCACTAAGGTTCACTCTTGGTGGTGTACAGTGCCCTGAATTTTTAAAAATGTGTAATGAAACAAACTCGTCACTACAGTATCATACAGAATGGTTTCACTGCCCTAAAAATACCGTGTGTTTCACCCTCCCACCCGTCCCTGCTCACCACCCCTCCCCAGCTGCTGGCAGCCACTGATCTCTGTCCTGTCCTCTACAGTTTTGCCTTTTCCAGAATGTCATATAATTGAAATCATACAGTAGCCTTCTCAAAGTGGTTTTTTCCACTCAGCAATATGCATTTAAGGTTCCTCCCTGCCTTTCTGTGGTTTGATAACTCATTCCTTTTGTGTGTGTCTATGTGTAGTAAAATATACCTTACATAAAATTTACCATTTGGGCCATTTAAAAATGTACAATGCAGCAGAATTAAATATATTCACGTTATGCAACCATCACCACCATCCATCTGAAAACTTAGTCCATTCTTTTAAAATCATTGAACAATACCCCCAGTATATGGATGTACCAGCACTTGTTTGCCTTCATCAGTTGATAGGTGATTTATTTATTTTTTTAAATAAATTTTGGTTTTCTTCTTTAACATTTTTAAAAGATTTTATTTATTTATTTATTTGACAGGTAGAGTTATAGACAGAGGGAGAGACAGAGAGAATGGTCTTCCATCCACTGGTTCACTCCCCAAGTGGCCGCAACAGCCAGAGCTGGGCCAACCCAAAACCAGGAGCCAGGAGCTTCTTCTGGGTCTCCCACATGGGTGCAGGGGCCCAATCACTTGGGCCATCTTCCACTGCTTTCCCAGGTGCATTAGCAGGAAGCTGGATCAGAACAGAAGCAGCCATGACTTTAACCAGCACCAATATGGGATGCTGGCACTGTGGGCAGAGGCTTAGCCCACTGTGCCACAGCACTGGCCCGGGGGTGATTTATTTTTTAACAAGACCATGGGCTGGCATGCTGAGGACTGATCAGAGGGAGGTTATGAAAGAAGGAAGGAAAGCTAGGGAGGTGGCTACTGCTGTGGTCCAGGTGAGAGATGACAGTGGCTTCAACTGAAGTGGAGAGAAGAGGGCAAATGTAAGAATGAACAGGGTGGCATTGGCAGGATTTGAGGACACATTGGATGTGGGGTTAAGGGATAGGGAGGAGCTAAGAATGGATATGGCTTTCTGACTTGGGTGACTGGGTAGATAGATGGGTGTCATTGACTGGAATGGGGAAACAAAAAACAGAGCAGATTTGAGAGAAGACTATGAGTTCTACTTTGGATGTGACGTTTGAGTCTGAAGCATCCAAGAGATGTCCAAGTGGAAATGTGTTGAATATATGGGTCCTCTTCCCTCTCACTCACCAAACACTCCAGCCCATAGCCTTATGTCTATTTCCGAACAGGCCAAGTTTTATCTAGACCCGAGACCATGGAATGGCTGTTCCCCTGCCTAGACCTTTCTCTGCCAGCTGGTCACATGACTAACCCCTTCTAAACATTCAGATCTCAGCTCAGATACTACCTAATCCAAGTCCTTTTCAAGACCCAAGCTAACGTCAGTGGAAGTTGTAAGCTAATGATCCACATTAGTGAGGTTTTGCTGTAATGCTGAAAAAGTTGCTAAGAAACAACTTTCAAGGGGAAGGAGGAGGAGGGACAGAAAGAGGTACAAAACTACAGTTAGAAAGGAGAACCAAGATCCAGTGTTCTAGAGCCTCGTAGGATGACTATAGTTAACAATGACTATTACATTTCAAAATAGCTAAAAGAGAGGATTTTGAATATTCTTGCCACAAAGATAAATGTTTGAGCTGATCAATGGACTAACTCTCCTGGCTTGATCACTACACATTGTATACATGTATTGAAATATCACACTGTGCCCATTAATGTGTACAGTTATCATGGTGGGCTAAAATTAAAAAAAAAAAAAAACTTCCAGAAACTCAGTGCCCTGTGGGTCAGCTGGGGCTCTGCAGGCCTCTCCTGGGCCAGGCTGAGCTCCAGGCTGTGCGCTGTGCAAGGCTGCTTCCTGTGAGTCGGAGTCCAGCCTGAAGGACCTCCACTCCCAACCCTTCCTCTCCCCACCCTCTCATTCCCCCCACTCCTCCCCCGTCTGAGTTTTCAAGGCCAAGGAGAGTTGCTCAAGGGAGGTGGGGGGAGGGGGAAATACTCAGTGCCTTGGAGCTGGCCCTCGTCACTTCACACACATTCTTTTAACCAAAGCAAGTCACATGGCCAAGCCTAATATCAACAGGGTGAGGAAGTGTGCTCCTCCCACGGTAGGGAGGGCTGCGGGAAGTAAATATTTGCTGGACCTACCAGATGACCCAGCTCTATTTTTCCTAGACTGCCCTGTTTATTGAGTGATTCCACCGTACTCTAATGAAATATCTTTTGTGAACGAGTGATTGATTGGTTGAATGCCTTTCAAGGCGGGAAGACACTCCCAACTCTTCAAATGAGGATTTGCGCCAAGTCAAAAAAACCAACTCTGATAAGACCAGCCTGCTAGCTCCATCAGCTCAGTTCCATTCCAAAATGAATAACCTGGGAAGATGCTGTTTTCTGCGTGGCGAGGCCTCATCTCTGATTTTACTCTCTCGTTGAAGCTTGGTGGACAGTAATCAGGGAACTACAAAAGCAGAGGGTCTCCTTGCTGATTTGATCTCAGGTCTGTCTTCAAAGCCAGGTAGGGCTTTGATTCATCGTTTCCCAGGCCCTGAGCCCTGCATAATGCGTGTGTGTTGGGCGAGTGAGTCATTGGTATCGTGGTAGTTTTGATTGATGATTAAGTGTTCCAGGAAAGTCTCTCTCCTCACCCAACTGTGCCTGCCCCTAAGGTACAGTCTTCCTTACTTCTGCGGGAACCTACAGTGTCTAACAGAGAGGGTGCACACAGTGGAGCTCAAAAATGAGATATAGGCTCAGGAAAAGCCTGCAAGGATATGACTCAGAAAAATCGTAGGCACCTTTGTAAGTAGCATTGCTTAGCACGCTAACTCTCTGGTGTAACTTTTAAAGTTCATAACAGGTAGAGTTAGCTTATATAGCTATGAGACTACATATGCTTCTGATTGTACAGGTTGCAATCAAAGAGAAAACTCCAGTCTGGAACTATTTTAAAGTTCTTACTAGCGTGCAAAAATAATTACTTGCTGGTTGGTTGGGAAACTCCTGAAAATCATCTCCCTCCAGAATCCTACTCCCACGCATTGTCAGAAGGCTGTTTTCAGAAATACTGAGTCAATTCCCAACCACTCCTTCAGTGTGCATCTACCAATGCCAAGTGCTGAGTGAGCCACCAAGATGATGGGTGACAGGCTGGGAAACAGGTGATAGCCAGAGTCAGCAAAGCCTGCATTCATACCATAGCACACACAGATGGAGCCAGACCATGGGCCAGACACTGTGCTAAGTGCTCCCTAGGGATTATCGCGTTTAATCCACACAACGAGTTGATGAGGTAGAAGCTATTATTGTGCTGTTATACAGCTGGGGATACTGAAGTGCAGACAGGCAAAGGAACTTGCCCAAGGTCACAGAACCGGCGGATGGTGGAACTGACATTTGATTCCCGGGCCTGTGCTCTTAGCTGCTACCCCACACTGCTGTCCACTCAGAACTTGCCCAGATTCCACAGGGAGTAAGTGGCACAGTCAAAATGCTAACCAAGAAAGGTTCATTGGCCACCAAAGAATATGCCCCAAATTCAGAGCCATCCTTCTCCCTTCCAATCCTCCCCCTCCCTGGAGCCAATACCAAGATGTTGGCTGACCTTGGGTAGCCTAACTGGGCCTATTTTCATGGCTGCAAAATAGAAGAACACTGCTTACCCTCAAGAGCTGGAGGGAGGCTCCTTTGAGAAGAGAATTCCTCCCATGGAACCGGCTGGGTGCTCAGTTAAGATTCATCCGTGTGCTTCTTGCTTTTCAGGAGTTTGGTGCTGTCGGCCAAGTGGACCCAGGAGCAAGCCTATCTGATGAGCTCTTTAACTAAGGATGCAGTAAGTGCAGTGGAGTTTCTGGAGGTTGGGCCCAGGATGCAAAGTCCAGGGCTGCTGTGTACTCAGAAAACTCAGTTGAGGGAGCCCTGAAACCAGCAACGCCAGAAGGAGGGAAATTTCATGCGTCATCTTTCCTGTTTTCCCAGACCTGGCCCACTCCCAAAACCTCTTCTTAGTCTTGTCGGGATTTTGGCGCTCTGCCCCAGGAAGGAGCTGCCAGGAGGCTCAAAGAGAGCCAAGACTTCAAGGAAGTGATGTTTTCTGTGGGTCAAGAGAAGGCAAAAGGCTTCCTGGGAAAGAGAAGGAGGCAAAGGTAGAAACAGAGACAGACCTAAGAAGCACACCCCTCCCGGAACCAGTAGAGAAACTGAGGCTTAGAACCGAGCAAGATTTGCTAATTGTGGTGGCAGCTGGGTTGGGGCAAGCAGTTTGTATCCCTCCTTCCCAGAACAGAGTTCTCCCCATTGTGTACCCCAACTGCTCAGCCCTCTTCCTGCTCTAGGATGGAGCTGCCTTCACTACCTCTTTTCCACAACTGCTTCTAGCAGCATCTTCCCACCACTGCACTGGGGACATTGGAAGCACAGATGTGGGTCTTGCCAGTACTAGAGGAAGAAATAGCAGCTGCAAAGACGTTGGTGGGTTTGACCACGTGGGAACTCATGGGTGGAACCTGCTGAAAGAATCAGTGCTTCCTGAGCACCTGCTGTGTGTCTGCACGGAGCCAGGCACACTCAACACGTTACATCATCTAATCATCACAGTAGCTCGAGGAAAGAGATTGCATCCCCATTTTGCAGATCACGAACCTGAGGCTCATGGATATTTCCTGCCCACCTTTATCTCCAGCTCATAACTCTCTTCTAACCTCCAGATCTGGCTCTCCATTTCTTTGTAGGCATCGCCTTTTATATAGCCCAGGTGCTTTTCAAACTCAACTTGAATAATTCTGAAGTCATCATCTTCCCCTCCCACAGAATCCTGCTTTCTCATCCCAGTCTCACTATTCAGAAACCAGGATAGTATCAGCCTTAACTTAACTCCACTTCCCCTTCCCATCTCTAATGGGTAGTCCGGATCTGTGGTCTTTTCTCTGACTTTGTATCCCAGGCACTGTCTTTCCTCAGTTCCAGTGTTTGGAGCATAGTCTGGAATTTATTACCCCACCCCTGGGTGATTCAAATAGTTCTTTTTAAAAGAAAAATTGTTTAAATTAACTTGCATCTGACATTGAGGTATAGTGTGTTAAGTCATCACTTTGGAATCTGCATCCCATGTTGAAGTTCCAGTTTGGGTCCTGACCACTCTGTTTCCAATCCAGCTCCCTGATGATGTGTGTGGGAGGAAGCACATGATGGCTAGAGGGCTTGTGTCCCTGATACCCGGCTGTTGCAGTCATCTGGGAAGTCACCAGTTAATGGACAATTTCAATCTCTCTCTCTCCCTCATCTCTTCTGCTCTCACTCTGGTGTGTCTCTTTTGCTCACACACTCGTGTGTGTGTCTCCCCCTCTGTCACACTGCCTTTCAAATATATAAGTCTTTAGAAAATTTTATTTGAAAGGCAATGGGACAGAGAGAAAGAGAGAGAGCTTCCATCCTCTGGTTCACTCCCAAATGCCTGGAATGGCCAGAGCTGGGCCAGGCCAAAACCAGGAGCTAGGAACTCCATTTTGGGTCTCCCAAATGAGTGGCAGGGACTCAACTACTTGAGCCATCACCTGCTGCCTCCCAGGGTGTGCATAGGCAGGAAGCTGGAGTTGGGAGCTGCAGCCTGGACTTGAACCCAGGCACTCCAATATGGAATGTGGGTGTCCTAACTGGAAGTTTAATTGCTAGGCCAGATGTCTTTCCCTCTACCAGCTTCTAAATAGGCCATTCTGCCTCCAGTTAATCTCTCCTGTCCACACCCCACCTGAATATCAGAGTAATCTTTCCAAAATGCAAATCTGCCTAGTCTCACCCAACTGAAACCCTTCAGTGGCTTCTCAGTACCCTGAAGATAAACACTTTAGCGGGGTTTACCAGGCCTCCAAAATCTTGGCCCCTGCTGCCATCTCTGGTGTCATGTCGGGTCACTCCGCACCCTCTGGCCCCCAAGCCTCAGATATCCTGGAATACTCGCTGTTCCTCTTTCACTTCAAGGCCTTGGCACGTGCTCTTTTCTCTGCCTTTGCCTGGCTAACTCCGGCTCATCTTTCAGATCTCAGCTTAGTCACCACTTCCTGACCTCCCCACTGCGCTCCTCCCCCCTTTAACTTTAACTCCATGAGCTGCCCCTCCAGTGAATTCCACCGTTCCTAGACTTCCTGTACTGAGCTTCCTATCCCCTCCCTTTCACATGCCCCTGGACTGGCTGACAAAGCTTTCATCACTGTCACAGAATGTTGGAGCAGCATTCTCCAGTGGAAACATAAAGGTGCTTGGAAAAGCTCATGGAAAACAAAATTAAAAATGTTTATTTTGCTGCAAAAGTTTTTTGAAATCCATATGTAATTTTTTCAGAATATGCATTTTCCATCAATTTTTTTATTTAAAAAATTGCATGGCTTTCAAAAATTTTGTACCAAAATAAATATTTTACTTCCTTTTTTATGAACTTCTTTTTTTAAAGGTGAATTTTTTTAAAGATTTATTTATTTATTTGAAAGTCAGAGTTACAGAGAGAGAGGAGAGGCAGAGAGAGAGAGAGAGGTCTTCCATCCACAGGTTCACTCCCCAAATGGCTGCAACAGCCAGAGCCGCACCAATCCAAAGCCAGGAGCCAGGAGCTTCTTCCAGGTCTCCCATGCGGGTGCAGGGGCCCAAGGACTTGGGCCATTTTCTACTGCTTTCCCAGGCCATAGCAAAGAGCTGGATCAGAAGAGGAGCGGCAGTCTCGAACTGGCGCCCATATGGGATGCCAGCACTTCAGGCCAGGGCATTAACCCATTGTGCCACATTGCTGGCCCCTAAAGGTGAATTTTTTTAAAAATATTTTTATTTATTTATTTGGAAGGTAGATTTACAGAGAGAGACGGAAAGACAGAGATCTTCCATCTGGTAGTTTACTCCCCAGATAGCTGCAATGGCCAGAGTTGAGCCAGGCCAAAACCAGGAGTTTCATCTGGGTTTCCCATGTGGGTGACAAGGGCCCAAGCACTTGGACCATCCTCTGCTGCTTTTCCTAGGCCATTGTAGGGAGCTGGATTTGAGGTGGAGCATCAGGGACACAAACCAGTATCAATATAGTATGCTGGTGTCACAGGCGACAATTTTACACGCTATGCCACAACGCTGGTCTCCATGAACAGGTTTTGTATTTTTTTTTTTCAACTTATTTATTTAAAAGCAGAGGACAGAGATAGAAGGAGAGACAGAGATGGCCACAACAGCCAGGTCTAGGCCAGGAGAAAGCCAGGAGCCAGGAATTCCAGCCTGGTCTCCCACGTGGGTGACAGCAGCCTAATACTTGGACCACCCTCTGCTACTTTCCCAGGCACAGTAGCAGGGAGCTACATTAGAAGCAGAGCAGCTGGGACTGAAACTGCCACTCCAATATAGGATGCCAGCCTCATAGGCAGTGGATTGATCCACTGAGTGACAACCCTGGATATTCACGAACCCTTTAAAATATCTTTGTGTGGCAGGCATTTAGCTTAGTGGTTAAGATGCCTGTGTTCCACATGGAGCACCTGGATTCCATACCTCGCTCATGTTCCGACTTCAGCTTCCTGCTAATGCAGCCTCTGGGGGCAGTGGTGTCAGCTCAAGTAATTGGGATCCTGCCACCAATACAGGAGACCTGAATGGAGTTTCCAGCTCCTGGGTTTAACCTGGCTGCTGTAGGCATTTGGGGCGTGAACCAGCAGATAGTTCTCTGTTTCTTTTTGCCTCTCAAATAAATAAATAAATAAATGTTAACTTAAAAAAAAAAAAACCTGCTACCCCACAACACCTGAGCTGGTTTTGTGGTATTCTGGGTAAAGGCCCTGCCTACAATGCTGGTATCCCATAGGGGTGCCAGTTCAGGTCCCACATGCTCCACTTCTGATCCAGCTCCCTGCTTATGGCCTGGGAAAAGCAGCAGCAGATGACCCATGTCTCCCATGTGGGAGACCCGGATGAAACTCTTGGCTCCTGGCTTCAACCTGGCCCAGAAAACTTCTATGACCAACTGTGGAGTGAACCAGCAGAGAGAAATAAAATCAGCAGAGAAAGTGGAGATATAGAATGAGGAAGAGACCTTCTATCCCACCAGTTCACTCCCCCAAATGGCTGCAACAGCTGGGACTGGGCCAGGCCAACGTCAGGAGCCTAGAACTCCATCTGGGTCTCCCATGTGGATTGCAGAGGCCCAAGCAGTTGGGCCATCTTCCACTGTTTTCCCAGGTGCGTTAGCAAGGCACTAGATGGGAAGTGGAGCAGCTGGGACTCCAATTGGCACTCATATGAGCTGCAAGCATGGTTAGAAGCTTAACCCACTGCGCCACAAACTGGCCTCTGAAATTGCTTTTATAACATTTTAACATAGGATTTAAAAAATTGTATTATCTAAACATGTAATCAATATAAAAATTACTAATAGTTTATCTTACTTTTGTGTTATCTTACTTTTGAGTTACAGAGAGAGTGATCTTCCATCTGCTGGTTCACTCCCCAAAGAGCTGCAATGGCCAGAGCTGGGCCAGTCTGAAGCCAAGAGCCAGGAGTTTCTTCCAGTCTCCCACATGGGTGCAGGGGTCCAAGCACTTGGGTCATCTTGCATTACTTTCCCAGGTCATAAGCAGAGAGCTGAATTGGAAGAGCAGCATCCATATGGGATGCCGGCACCACAGGCAGAGGCTTAACCTACTACGTTATACCACAGCGCCAGCGCCCAGATCTCACTTTTCACAGAGCATTTCTGGAGTTTAGTGTCCAGTGGGATATTCTTTGGCAAATATTAGTTAGCCAGATCCTTGACTCAATAGATCTCAGGATTCCCACAGGAAGAAGAAGGGGTTCAGGGAACCCACCCCAAGTGCCTCTGCATACAAAACCTGATTACTGGATTGACCAACTCTGAGAGGCTGCAGAGGCTAGGAATAGTGTCAGTGAGCAAAAGCTGCAGCATTGAGCTCAAACAGGTGTTTTTTTTTTATTACATATGTGTGAATGTGTGTTTAAACTGTGTAACACCAGGTTTCCTGATCTGTCTGGAAAATGTAATAGATAGCCTTGCAAAATGATGGTTTCTCTGGACTAGGTGTCATCAAGGTGGAGGCTGGTGTCGATGGGAGGCCCCTGCCCTGAGTCTCTAATTTCCCTTTCTCAGAACTTAAAAAAATAAAATAAAAACAGTAGTGGGCATCAGAGGAAGTGATGAGACTTGCTCTGGGCCCTTTATTAAGAACACCCTTTGGGATTCTGGATGTCCTAGTGGAGGATCAGTAGCCAGCCAAAACCAACTACACTTGGAGGCTACATTTTCTTGATTCAATTCAGAAGATTCTTGATTCATTTTATACAAAGTCAACATCTGATGACTGATTTATCAAATCAGTCAATCATAGATCAACCAAAATTTGTGCCTGAGTCATAGACAAGAGGAAGGCCTGTTTCCTTTTTTTTTTTTTTTTTAAGATTTATTTATTTACTTGAAAGTCAGAGTTATACAGAGAGAGAAAGAGAGTCAGAGAGAAAGAGAGAGAGAGGAAGTCCTACATCCGCTGATTCACTCCCAAGTTGGCCGCAATAGCTGGAGCTGTGACAATCCGGAGCCAGGAGCCAGGAGCTTCTTCCGGGTCTCCCATGAGGGTGCAGGGGCCCAAGGACTCTCTACTGCTATCTCAGGCCATAGCAGAGAGCTGGATTGGAAGTGGAGCAGCTAGGACTTGAACTGACGCCCAAATGGGATGACAGCACTGCAGGCGGCGGCTTTACCCACTTCGCCACCATGCCAGCCCCAGCCTGTTTCTTTTAAAATTGCTTTAGTGGGACAAAGAGGCTTGGCCAATCTATGCTGTTAAAGGTCATCAGGGTAGTGGTTACCTTTAGGGTGATGACTGGAAGAAACCACAGGGAGGTTTCAGGGTGCTGGCAAAGTTCTGCCTATTACACAGGTGTGTTTACTTTGTGAAAATTCATCAAGCTGCACATTTTCAATTTATTTTATTTTTAAAGATTTATTTATTTATTTATTTATTTGAAATTTGATAGAAAGAAAGGGAGAGAGAAATCTTTTATTCACTGATTCACTCTTCAAATGGTCATAATGGCCAGGACTGGGTCAGGCTGAAACCAGGAGCCAGAAACTCCATCCTGGTCTCCTATGAGATTGGCAGGACCCCAAATACTTGGGTCATCTTCTGCTGTCTTCCCAGGTGCATTAGCAGGGATCTGGATTGGAAGCAGAGCAGCCTATACTTCAACTGGCACTCAGATATGGGATCACAGGTGGCAACTTAGCACACTATACCAAAATACTGGGCCATAATTATTTTTATTTTAGATGCAGAGAGATAGGGAAAGCATGCTCTCAAGCCAGCTGATTCATTCTTTAAATTCCCACAACCACTGGGGTTGGGCTGGGCTGGGCTGGACTGAACCAGGCTAGGCCAAAGCCAGGAATGGGAAATCAATCCAGATCTCCCAAGTGGGTGGCAGAGATTCAACTGCTTGAGCCATCAATGCTGCCCCCCAGGGTTTGCATTAGCAGGAAACTGAAATTGGGAGCTGGAGTCTGAATTCAAACCAGGCACTCAGGTATGGGATACCAACATCCTAAGTGGTAGTTTAATTGCCAGCCCAATCATCTGTCCCAGGCTGTATGTTTTTGATATGTAATATATATATTACACTTTTATTTTAAAAACACTTTTAGAAAGTGTGACTATGAGGCTGGCGCCATGGCTCAATAGGTTAATCCTCCGCCTGCGGTGCCGGCACACTGGGTTCTAGTCCCGGTCGGGGCGCCGGATTCTGTCCCG